TCTCGCCTCTCTGATACTTCTTTCTGTTGACTTGACATTCTGGGATTTACTTTTTTTTTTTTTTTTTGGTACTGGCAATCAAACTCAGGACCTTGTGCTTGCCAGGCAAGCACTTATGCTACTGAGCTATAATCCCAGCCCTCTAGGCTTTACTTTGTATCTTGAGTGTCAAACTTGTGATTTAGCCGGGCGTGGTGGCTCATGCCTATAATCCCAGCACTCGGGAAGCTGAGGCAGGAGGATTGTTGCAAGTTCAAGACCAGCCTGGGCTACAAAGTGAGCTCAAGGCCAGCCTGAACTGCATAGCGAGACCCTGGCTCAAAAGACAAAAAATAAAAAAACAAAACAAAACAAAACTTGTGATTTCCATTCAAACCCCTTTCTAAAACCTCCGAGTCACTTTTCTAAAGTTTCTGTTGGGTGTTTCATTTTGGATGACACCATCACCACAAGCTCACTGTGCTTCAAACCACTATAGGTTTTTCTCCGTGATTTCCTTATTTCTATTTATTTATTTGTGGTGCTGGGGACTGAACCTAGTGCCTTCTGCAGGCTAGGTAAGCACTCCGTTACAGCCCCACTTCCAGCTTCTCCATTCTGAAGAATTACAAATGAATGTTTGCTTTTGAAACGATATCCTTAGAAATCTAGAGCAAACCTAATTTTGTAAAATGAGACTATCCATCCAGCTAGCAAATCAGAAGCTTCCTCTCTCTTCCCCAGATTTGACACTACTGCTTCCAACGCTAGTGGTTTAACAGAACACTTTCCTCTTCTTAGCCAAATACTACTGTACGTCCAGTCCTGTTGGAGTCACAGACATTTTTCCTACTTTTTTTTCCCCCCAGAGTTAGGCTGTTACCTTTAGCCCCAATAAGCATTCCTTCATTTCATGACTTCACCGAAGTTTGCTTCTGCCCTCCCCTATTTTTTTGTTTGTTTTGTTTTTTGAGATGGTCTTGCTACGTAGTTCAAAATGGCCTCATACTTGTGGCCACCCTCCTGCCTCAGCCTCCTGAGTTCTGGGATTACAGGCATGAGCCACCACACCTGGCTTCCCTCTTCTCCTTTTGAAATTGAAACATATTACCTGAAACACACATTCATATATCATTGTAACTAGATGGCTCTTACTGTATGACATGCACTGTTCTAAGTGCTGGTACCAAGGTTTTCCTAAGAATGGCCTCATGGGTCCACCACCTAACCTTCTGCCTTAGTCTTTTTTTTTTTTTTTTTGGTCTTTTTCATTTTTATCAGTACCAGGGATCGAACTCACGACTGCCTGCTTGCAAGGCAGGGGCTCATGCCACTGAGCTAAATCCCCAGCCCCCATCTGCCTTAGTCTTGGGGTGGGTGGACACACTCAAGTTTGAGAATCACTTCCTTGACAAGATTTGCTTTGGAGTATTGAATGGAGTCAGCTGGCTCCATCTCAGTTTAAAAGCACCACAGCACCCAGCAAGGAACAATGGAGGGTCTGTGGGTGCAACCAAATTATAGCCATGCAGCCCTTATCCACTGTGGGCCTCGGACCCGGGGGACTAGTCAGAGGTTCATCTTTGCCTTTTTTCCTCCTCTACCTAGCTTAATCTCCCAAAACTGTGGCTATAGCTCTGGTGATGATTTATTGCCTTTTCACCCTTTAAGACATTAGTATACTGCATTTCAGTGTAAGATACTCCTGGGAGAGAGAGAAAGAGAGAGAGAGAGAGAGAGAGTGTGTGTGTGTATGTGTGTGTGTGTGTGTGTGTGTGTGTGTTTAGTACTAGGGATGGAACCCAGATCATTTGCACTGAGGTTACAACTGTAGTCTCTGTCTACTTTTTAACTTAATTAATTAATTAATTTTGCGACAAGGTCTCACTAAATCAACTGAGTTCCCCCACCTGGGCTTGAATTTGCAATCCTCCTGCCTCAGCCTCTGAGAGTATTGGGATTACAAGCATGGGCCGTAGGCCCCTTGTTACCATGGCTTAAATAACACTAATCATTCACTGAGCACTAACATTGCTTACAACAACTCAGTGAAGCAGGTGCTGTCTTTTATACCTGTTGGACAGATGAGGTCAATGACTTGCCCAATGTCACACTACTAGAAAAATGTCCAGCCAAGATTTGGAACTATTAAGATCTGCTAGGTATGAGTGACTATTGAACCATACTGTTTCCAAGTTAAAAGACAGTATATACTAAGCACCTACTGCACCCTTGGCACTGAGCCTAATCATTTAATAACACACCTGATTAGAGACTTTTAGAACGTACTTCCATTTCCTTGCCAAAAGAATGGTAACATTCATACAGCTGATCCTGTCCACTGGAGCAGTTCTAAATAAACAGATTTTAACAAAAGCTGCCACTGGGTAATCAGTAGAAGTGACCATAAAGCCAGGATCTTTAGCTGACACATTTAGACATCTGCCCGTCCCCCTCCCCAGGCAACCAGTTATCAAGCATCTCCAGCTGGTTACCTTATCCTCAGAAAGGAACATCTGTCACCCACTCCTGTTACCTTCCAGATCAATAAAGGCACCCTCATCCCTCTCCTCTTTTAAAGTGAATATCCAGATCTCAGGAGCGCTTTAGACAAAGTCAGCACATCTGAGGTGATTCTGCCTGTCTTCGTTCCTGCAGAGTAACTGCCATTAGGGGCAGGAGTTAAATGTGTGCTCAGCCTGTTCCTGTGGCACAGAGGCTGACCTTTCCTACGCTGAGGACAGCTTTTCCGCCACTCACTGTCCACATGCTGAGCTGGGCATGCCGTCCCTGAGGTGTCCTATTCATTGCAAACCTAATTTGCAGAAATTGTTCTCTGAAATCCAGGAATAAACTCTTTGGCTATTTTCAGACAAAGATAGAGGTAGAAGTCTGTAGAAATGAGCTAGGAAGGAGCTTAAAATACTTCACATTCCAGAAACACCCTCCCTTCCCCCCAGGACATGGCTTTATTCCTACTGTTTCTCAGCAGAGTGGCACTGGAAGGATCTGCACTAGGCAGCTGGTGCCAGCTTTGTGGACTTTAAAAAATGGCTTCCAAGTCTGGGCTTCAGTTTGCTTATCTGTGAAACGGGGCTGACACCCTGCTCTCCAGGTTATTGTAAGGGTGCTAGCTGCAAAACAACTAGCACTAGTGCCTGCACCAATGGGCCCCTAGAGATTTACTGAATGCCCATGAATTCTTTCAAGGTCCAGTAAAGGAAGGAAGGTCTTACAGATCAGTCTTTTGACAAATGGCCTCAAAGAATAGAAGCCATTCACAGTGGCACATGCCTATAACCTGAGCATTCCGGGAGCCTGAGGAGGTGGACTGCAGGTTCAAGGCCAGCATGGGCAACTTAGTGGCTTAGTGCGATCCTATCTCAAAATTAGAAAATAAATAAATAAGGGCTGGGGATGTAGCTCAGTGCAAAGACCCTAGGTTCAATCCCTACTTTAAAAAAAAAATGGAGGATAGGTTTAGGATATAGCTTTGCTTTAGATCACTTGCCTAGCATGCCTAAGGGGTACCCTGCGTTTCGTTCCATCTCCAGCATTCCAAGTGCTCATGCATACAAAGCAAGGCAGACAGACTGGAAGTGTTAAGTGTTCCAGTAACACAACTCTATTTTACCAAATACTTATTAGGTTCCAGGTTTGTGACCTAGGGGCAGTAAGGCATCAAGTGGAAAGTTTACCTGAGGGACTGAACTTGGGATCCCCATTTTACTAAGTGATTTTGAGAGAGCTAGACTATCTTCCTAGACACAATTACCATATGGCAGTATATCGCTTACTTACCAGGTTGTAGTGAGAGTCACCTGGTAAATGTGAGAAATTTAAGAGTAGCTTCTTGATCCTACACAGGCTCCACAGCAGTTCAGGCAGGCGATCCCAACCCAGGTCCCAACAGCAAGGCAGGCTTAGTAATGACCACCCAGGTTTCTCTCACCATGATGCTCACAGGGTTTCTGAACAGCAACTGTTTTCTTTTCACAGTCCCAGAGGGGCCCTCTTCCGAGCAACACTCTCCAACCCAGCACACAAATGGCAGAGTAACTGGCTAGTCATGCAACATGTGCTCCACTTCATCCCAGGAGGCGGCAGGCACAACGGTTCCAGAGACAATTTCAACAAGCAGCTTAACTGATGGAATTTGTTTACTTCCCCTACACGCCCATGCTAACCAAGCAATGTGGTCACTATAATGTACTAGTTATGATTTCTGGAGATAGGGTTTTAAATTTCTACTTTTTTACTAGTTGTGTGATCTTTGGTAGTTCAGTTTCCTCGTCTATAGCCCTGGCATGTGAAGAAGGGGGAGAGTGCTTAGACATAAGTGTCCTACTATGAGGAAGAGCCATCAGGAAATTTTCCCATTTTGCATTTCAATTAAGTTTATGGGAGAACTATGGGAAGAAAAGAGAACCTTAACTTTCCTTTTATTAATGAGGGAGGAAACGAAAAAAATTACATCAAAAATTCTCAGAGAATTTTAAAAAGACAATTCTGTAAAACGTCATCATAACACTGAAATAAAGATAGCTCTTTCACAGTTTAAAAGCAGTATAGCTCAGTGGCACACCACCTGCCTGGTTAAGTGCAAGGTCATGAGTTTGATTCCCAGTACTAAATAAATGAATGAAATGAAATAAAAGCAATTTAGTCTACTACCAGACTTAACTATCTGCAAAAATCCTGTGAAAGAACATCTGTCCCCATTTTACAGATAAAGGAACTAAGAATCAGAAAGCAAAGCTAAAAGACCACAGAAGCAGCAGGAGAGCTGGGATTTCAAGCTTTCTAAAGTACAAATTCAGCACTCTTCACAAGAGAATTTCATTTCCACTGAGTACTGAACCTACATTGTTTAGACATGTCTGAAGTGGCATTTCAGGAACCCAGAGTGGAATGACCAGGTTCACAACATGGTAGAGAAATGCAACCACCTGGTTCACTATGCTAACCTAAAATAGTTTTCCTTGGTTCAGAAGGACTCAGATAGCATAAGCTGCCCCCACTGACATATTTGAGAAATCTTTTATTAGATGTCCCAGAAGGCAACAGTTTAAAATCAGGCAATCAATAATCACAACTAAATACAAAATCTCAGGTAAACCTGCCTTTCAAAATAAATCAGACCCTTGCAACAGGAGAATTGCCCAAGTTTTTTTTCCCCCCTTGTACAAAAACAATTAACACCACTTTGCAAAAAGCATACAAAAATACAGTATTAAAAAAAAATTCCTCCCAGCATAATACCCAGCAGCAGCTTATAAAACACAAGCTATTCAGATGGGACATTAGTAACCTATTTCCCACCTGTCCTTCCAAGACAGTTCCAAAAGTCAATGGGCCCCTGAAAACCCTGCTCCAGAAGATTGAGCGCCTGTACATCCAAAAGGTCCCCTGGGGTTCTCTGAGGCTAGGAAACAACCTCAGGAAGAGAACATCATGGACAGTAGGTTGGAAGCAGCACTTGGTTTCTCAGAGCTACAAAGAGTGTTTACCATCCATCCCTTCTCTTCTACTTCCAAATTCAGAGCCAGCAGGCACCTGCTATCCTGAGCAGAGTTTGGAGGGGCTTATCTTTCTTCCATGCCAAGTTGGGGGGTTGCTCACATGCCACCTACAGGGTTAAGTGGCTTTCCCATTTTGGAGGTTATACCTCAATTCCGCTTGGAGCTGCAGAGTCCAGTTAGAGCAAAATCCATCATCGCTGGCTAAGCAGAGCTCCTGGAAGTGCCTTTGCAACCCACCAGGAAGCAAGTACACCTTATGGAGTCCTGGATGAGTCCCACCGGTTCTCTCCAGAACCTCAGTAAGGCCTAGATTCTGGGAAAGGCATTTGACTCATGTGAAGCTGGCAGAGAACCAGGCTGGTGGCTACAGAGCCAGCAAACTCCCTGGACAGGTTTGTATGGTTCCAGTACAACTTCAAACGGAATCAAAGACTAGAGATGACAGGCAGGTGGAAAAGAGGAAGAAGTACAGTGCTTCCTTTTCAGGTGCCTTATACCTGCTTAAGAAGAGTCCAAGATGAATCCCAATTGGCCCTTGGAAAACACCTGGGCAAGGGAACAAGTTCATGAGCTAGGGCTCCAAGCCTTCCACAGGCCCCAGGCCAGGAACCATTTCCTTGCATTTTGGGGAAATATTTCAGACCTGTGAGTAAAGGGCACCACAGAGCCCATTGCATAACAAAGGCAGAACAAAACAAAAAAGTCCCTTGTGAGGAGAGAAAGCTCTCTCCCTTAGAGAAGAGGGCCCAGAGGGCATTGAGACAAAGAATCTAGGGGCCAAGCTCTTTAAAAGTTCTCAAAGTCGCAGCATTGAGAATAGAGGGAGGGGTGTTGCCTAAAGTCATCATATATACATATATATATATATATATATATATATATATATATATATAGTTTGTACTCCTCAGCTACTGTAAAGTGTCTGACAGTGAGGTAATGGTCCATGTTGATCAAGCCTATGAGCTTGTCTTCACCCAAGACAGCTTGTGTGTCTCAGGGAAAAAAGAGCCTCAGGAGAGTGTTCAGGCCCAGCTGTCCTTGTGTCATCAGTGGGACATCAGTGACATCAGTGGGAGCATCCTTTCCTAGCCTAAAGCTCCGGTGGAGTGTGAGATTTCATGCAGGCTGGAGCCCCTGACAACGTCCACCACCTGTTGCATAGCATCTGTCAACCTTTTCTTCAGAGCTAGCTAGTGAGCTAGGCAGACCCCTGGGCTCCTCACTCAGCTGCCTGCTGAGAAGCCAAAGGCGCCAGAAAGGACACAGCACTCTGATGAGTCAGGGAGAGGGAGAGCTGGATTTCAAGGTTTCCAAGAATGCAAGCCCTTATTGTGTGTGCACCGGCTGCAATGCATTCTGGGATCTACAGTTCAGACTGTCTCACCCTAACCAAAATGTGCAAATTACTAAAGGGGAAAAGGAGGTTAGAATATAAACATGTGTCTTTGTAAGAGAGAAAAGTCAGGCTTTTTGGTCAGTTAGTAGCCACTGAGGTACGCAATTCTTTTCTGTAGTTGCTGCTGCCGGCACCGGAGTTGCCTTTTCTCTGTAGCCATCCTCTTCTCAGCACCTACGAGGGCTTGCAGATATTCCAAGGCCTTGCTGAGGATGACTACTTTGGGGGCCTTAGAGCAGCTGGCCAAGGTGGGCACCTGGTCCCTCAGGGCCAAGAACCGTGAGCGGAGGTCATTTCGCCTTTTACGCTCTAAGAAGTTATGGTTCTTCCTCTTGCTCACATCCTCAGTATCAGAACTGACAGGTTTGAGGTGGCAGGGCTGAGGCACCTCACTTTCTACAAGTGGAGGGCTCACAATCTCTTCATCCTCCTCATCTTGCTTCTCCTTGGGTGCTTCTCTCTCCATAGTCTCTTCCTGGGGACCCCTGTCTGGGGCTTCTTCTTGGGAGCAACTTTCTGGAGGAAACCGGGCAGCATAGTTGTGCTGTTGCTGATGGATAGAGATATGGAAATGTTTCATGCAAGGATCCAGAGGGTCTGCCCGCACTGTGATGGTGACCGGCTTCCGTATACCCAGAGACTGCCTTTTCTCCACTGTTACAACATCGATTTCTTCACCCTCTATCCAAGAGAAGAAACATATCCCATGAGAAACACATACACAGACCCTGCAGCTTTAAATCTCCCTGCCAGGTCTTGGGAAGGTAAGGGACATTTTCCCAATTTAGATATCAACAAATTGAAGTGAGGAGAAAGACAGCTGATTCATTTGTACTGGGCAAAGGGCAGAGTGAAGGGAAGGAGGGGAAATAACCAAGAAGGAAAATATTCTCCAATTTCCTTTTGCACAGCAAGGCTTAGATAAGAACAAAAGGCGGACCCAAGCCAACAGCCCCCAGTCTGCACAGCCTCTCCCCTCCCCCACTGAGGGGATGGAGAGAAAGAGCTACCGGCCTGGGACAAAGTTTAGCTATAAAGATCTTCCCCAGTCGGGCTCTTTCATGCCCAATCAGAATTGTAAATGAGGGGTCTGTGGGCAGAGCTGCCCTTTGTTCCTGCCCAGCACAGCCTGCACTTGGGAATTGTTACTTTTCACAAGTTATAAATCCTATTATTCCTCCACCTCTCTATTCTGCCACCCTTTCAGTTGAAGGTTCAAAAAAGTGAGGGCTACAACCATCCCTCCTCACTCACAGAAGGGAGGGAAAGTTTCCCTGAGGAGTGTTTTGCTCCTGGGTTCAACCGGGTTTCTAAAGTCATCCATCATTTATAGGTCACTCACCCCACCTCCTCCCCTGGACTAGAAAGACAGTTGGATTTGTAATCAGAGGTCTCCAAAAGCTTCGGGAACTTCACAAAGGTACAAGCAACCATTTCCAAGTTAATTACAGCAGAGGCAGAGAATGAGCAGCACAATAACCCAGTTACAAGGGCTAAAATGCAAAAGACCTGGAGACACCAGGATGTATCCTTGCCATTTCCTGGCTCAAAGGTCTGTTGGATTGACCCAGGGAGGGGAGAAGGAACTGGGCAAGGTTGTGGGGGGGACCTCTTGTTACCCATGTTTTGCAGCTCCCACACAAGAGGCCACCTTAATGCATTTTGGTCCGACAACAGCAAAGCTCGGTTCTCAGCCTCTTTTGCATATCAGGAAGCTTGAGTCCCTTTGTCAGGAAGGCTTCCATTGTGTGGACAATCGCATTATTTCTCCATTAATAAAACCTGACCATTCAGCCCTCCTGGCCCCAAAGCCTGTGATTGGTTGGCTACGCTGTGTTTGGAACGCTATTTTACCCAGCCCCTAGCCCCTATTGGCTGAGTTCTGCTGTCAATCACATTCCTCACCCCCCTACTTCATTGTTTGCAATCTGTTGCATTTTGTTCTAGACCATGTGGCCTGAGAGTGAACCAGGGGCCCACAAACAGGTTCAGGTTAAAGGGCAGGTCAGAAAATGATTCAGGAAGCCTCCCTAAATCCCAGATTTTTATTTTGTCTGAAAAACCTCATGACTGGTAAGTTTCTAGGAAAGAAATCATTTAAAATACTATTCTTTTTCAGAGAGTAGTGTCTGACTCTAACCAGATAAGGAAATGTCCTCAGCAGGACAATCAAGTTCAACCCCCTCATTTGCAAAGGAGGAAACTGGGGCCCAGATAAGCCAAGTCCACATAGCACCTTTGTAACATTCTCAATCTCAGACCTTCAAACTTCCAAAACAATGCTTTTAATGCTTTTTCCACTCTAAGACTCTACTAGTCTTTGTAGAGACACTTCTTTATTGTTTTCTTCATCTGGAGACTCCTATACTAGCCATTAAATAGACAGAAGCTCTTGGTGTACACAGTAGGTTAAAAATGACCTTTTATGTAGTGGATCAAACAAAAAGTAACTTAATTTTTCTTGTTATTCTCATTTTTTCCTGAAGTGTACAACTTTCATATCCCATATTCCCCAGATCCCTCCTTTTTTCCCCTTCATTTATACTTTTTGAAACAGTCTCACATGTAGTTCAGGCTGGCCTAGAACTCTTAAGGGATGCACAACTATGCTTGGCCCCAGTTCCCTCTTGAATGCCCATGTATGTTATTCTTTTCTTTTTTCTTCATGTAAGTTTTCCGTGTTCTGATTTGTGTGCCACAAGCTTCAGTATGTACGCTTCAAGAGGATCCTTCCCCAGTAAGTACTTCTCATAGGTACAGAGATCTAAGAGGCTGGGGGAAAAATACCATAGTCCAATGGCACACAAGGTTCATCTGCCCTAGTGTCTTTGCTCTTGCATCAAGGATAGAGGAGTAGAGCCTGCATTCTATGGTCACGAGCCCAGTATCTAGCTCACAGGTTGGTACAAAGTGGGGGTCAGGGAATATTTGCCAAATGCAAGATAACAAAGCCAGGACACCTTTCAACTTTAGGTGAAAGCAGCAGGTTAGCCTATCTGAGACTATGAAGACCCTCAAACATCAAGGAAGAGATGCTTGGCTGGAATGGAGCATGGGGAAAAGATGCTGGCTAAACGGTAGGAAGCTAGGGCTCCCTTCATGAATTTCTCATGTCTAAGCCTCAGTTGTTCCATCTGTTAATGGGGAGCATTTATTTCTCCCCTGGTTATCTCATGGGTAATAAGGCACAAGTGGTAAAAAGTGGGAGAGGCAAGAGGGGCTTCTGAAAGTAAAGCAGGCAGGAAATCTACGTTTTTTAAAGGATGGAGGCTTGGGCTTTGCACAAAAGGGTGCTCTGCTGCTTCTCTCCCTAGTGGAGACCAAGTTTCCAGGGGAAAAGGCAGCAACAAAAAAGCTTCAAGCTTGGAGTGACTCTTAAGGGCGCCCTTCCAAGGACAAAAATTCCCTACAGTCCAACCCAAGTATTGTTCTCTCCAAGTGCCAATCCTCACCCAGTCTCCCTGGTCTCCTGGGGCTCCAATCATTATCAGAGGGACTCTGGCTCCCTCCCCCACGTCTCCAAACTGTTTACCAACACACCCACGTGCCAGACAGACACTGCTGGGGGCTACACCGTCAGTTCCAGCTTGAAAAAGGGGAGGTGACAGAAAGACTGGAGAAGACACAGTGCTAGACCTCAGGCAGCAGTACAGCTCTGGCCACCCATGGGGTGCCCCCCTCCTTAGATGGCCCGAGGTAGTCCTTACCAGAGTCACTTGGGCTCTCGGACCCCGAGCAGGCCTGGGTCTTGGGCTCACCCAGCTGACAGGGGGTGGCGGGCGCCGGATTGCCGGCTTCGAGACTGGGAGTGCAGTCCGGGGCTGCAGGCGCCTTGGGCGGGTTCCCCCGGGGCGCGCTAGGGGCCAGCCGGTCGCTCACAGCTCTCTCCAGCCGCTCCCGGGCAGAGAAGCCGCTCCACATGCAATCACGGCGGATGATGGAAGCATAGTTCCTGCCCCAAGCTTTCGAATGACCCCGAGATTCCGCCTCGTCCCCGACGCCCCCACCGGGCCACGGCTCCGGGGGACCAATCCCGGGCGCTGAGTCCCCGGCGCCAGGACCGGAGCCCCAGGGCGGCGACGTGGGGGGCGACGGCACCAGCTCGAATTTCTTCCAGATGTCCTCGCTAGGCGCCGTGGAGCGGTAGAAATCCTCCCCGCAGTCGTAGTCGTAGAAATAGTGCTGGTACGAATCGAAGTCCATGTCCGCTCCCTGCGGGAGGGAAGGGGGGACGTGCTAACTGGGCTGGGAACAGAGAGAGGAGGGGGATCCTGGGTCCCTGGGCACAGTCGGCTGCCGGGCTCTCGTGCCTCCCCAAGCCCACCGGCTCCCAACCTGAGCCCTACCCTTGCGTCCCGGAAAGCCTGGCCGTGGGTCAGAGCTCCCAGGGAAGAGGCTCACAGCGCGCGGACCAAGCTACGGGGAGCGAGTTCAAAGCAAACTTTGCCAGCGCCGCCCGGAGCGCAGCTCCCAGGGCCTACCGAGCCGGGCGGGGGCGCGCTGTGCCCAATAGGCAGCCTACAGCCTGCAGGCTGCTCGCCCCCCGGGACCCGTGCCGTACCCAGGCCACCCGCAGCCTCACCTCGCTCCCGCCGCCCGCCACCTGGAGCGGACAGGCTCCCCGCCGGCTCGCGGCAGCCCGGCAGCCCGCACACACACACATGCGCGCCACCGAGCGCGCGACCCGCACTCACGAGCGCGCTTCCCGCGCGCGCGGCCCGCGCCTCGCTCGCGCACAGCAGCCCAGACGCTCCTGAGATTGGCGCGGGAGCGCGAGCTGCAGGCGCATTGTTTCCCGGCTGCCTTATATCTAGATGTGCGCCCCGGGCTCTGGGACCACGGGGGTGGGCCCTATGGGATAAGCCCCGCCTTCGACCCGCCCCTTCCCGGGCAGTCGACAGGTGGGGCGGGCCCCACCCCCTGGCTGAGCTCGCCCACTGTGGTCTGTGCCTGCGACCCCCTCAAATGAATTGTACGCCAGGGAGGAGCGGAGCAGGAGGTCCGCACGGTCGCAAGGTGAAGGTGTGACTGTTTAGGGAGCCACCAACGGCGCCAAACGGCCGAACTAAAGCCGCGCACCTTGGCCACTCTGGGCGGGAGAGTGGAGCTGCTCTCGCCCCACCCCGAAGCCTACTTCCCCGGGCGTACCCCGCTGGGTTCAGGTGCGTCCGACCCGGTGGTGCAGAGCCGGGGCCGTGGCACCTCCACCGCGCCACCTGGCGGCCCTAGGCCCAGAAGTGGGACAGGTCCCGAACGTCTGCTTCCTTACCCTTGGCTCATTTCTTTAGCTGAGCGGCCCAAATCTGGATGGTAGTGAAGCAAAGTGAGATTCCGGCCTTTGAAGTCAGCAATGCAACCTTTCGAAGCTTCACTTTCATCTGTAAGATGAGGGCACGGTAGTACTCTCCTCATTGGGTTGTTGGGAGGACTTAAGATTAAAAAAAAAAAAAAAAAACACGCTGGGACAGACCAGACCGACAGGGAGGCCCCCACCCCGTGCTTTCGCACCCCTAAATCACTCCTCCGCCCTAACACGACACTCCGCAGGAGTTTTTCCAGTAGAGAAAAAAGAATGGAGGCTGAGAGTCTGGAACTTCGTTCAAATCTTGCTTTGCGGCTTGCTGCTGGCTATGGGAGTAGTTGGTTGAAATTGTCCTGCATCTCTGGCCAAGATGATGGACCTATGATTCCTTTGTGTCATCTTTTATACCGACTCAAGAGAAAAAACTAAATTATCCAGCCTGTCTGAAATTTAGACCCAAGGAAAGTAACTTGGGATAGCAGCCAATACTTAGAGAATCCACCTGGCATCAAGGTGTGGTGTCTGTCTGCCCTTCCTGATTGCCTATCTCTTCCCCTCCCACTCTGGTTTAAGAACAGCAAACTACTCTGGCCACAAAAAAAGTGAGAGGTGAAAGCTGTTGGATGTGGCCGGAGCAAAGGACATGGAGGTATGAGTTGATGTATGGGGATTAGGAGAGAAGGCAGGGAAGATGACTCCTTCAAACTTTTTTTTTTTTTTTTTTTTTTTTTTTATCGGTACCGGGGCTCAAACTCACGACTGCCTGCTCACAAGGCAGGTGTTTATGCCGCTGAGCTAAAACCCCAGCCCCGACTCCTTCAAACTTAGATTTGTTGGATCCGAGGTGCAGATGGGACTTCCCTGAAGGCAGGAGCCAGCTCTTGCTTTGTAATAATCTCTGCACCTAAAAGAGCTTCTGGTAGATAATTTTTAATTTTATTAATTTTTTTAATTTTTATTTTTACCAGTACATGTTTGCAGTACATAATGAATATATTCATCATAGAGAGCTGGGACATGCACACAACACATCTTAATTCTTTTTACATCCCCTTCCCTGCTTCTCCCTCCTCCGCCCTCCATCTCTTGGTTCTTTTGTGAACTCATCTACTGAGTGACCCACCCAACCAGATTTTACAGAGGCAGCCTGTATTGCCCTGCTGGGTGCTGAACAGAAGGCCCAGAATGAATTCCAAGTTTAGTTACAGCCACGAGGCAGAGGGAGGATTGGACTGCCTTTGGGTGACTTGTTCTCTAGTCCACAGATGTCTGGGATAATTTCTGAACTAGTAGGGATCTTGGTAACAAATGACAGAAATGGACCTTAAGTGACTTAAGCAGAAAATTACTTTATTGGATGAATTTGGGGTATGAAATTGATGGAAGGTTGAGAATCTGTGGTTACTCTAGGCAGGGACCCCTACTCAGTGAAACTCTTTCCCATGGCTTCATTGCTGTAGAGATATCTAGGGGCAACGATGAGGTGTCCCCATATTGGGAAGTAGGAAAAAGGTACCTAAGTTGTCTTCTGAGAATTATGCTGCTCTTTGACTTTGCATAATTATGTTTGACGTCTATCTTCCTGAGCAGATGGGAAGCTATATGTGAGCAGGGACAAATGTCAGTCTTGTTTACTGCTGTAAACTCACTGCTAGTCTTAGACCAGAGCCTGGTATATCACAAGTACTTAGTAACTGTGTTGCCTGTTTGACTAAACACAAATCTCTGAAGGTAATACAGAAATGTACCAGCTTGTCTGAGGGAGTTAGAAATAACTCTGGCGCAGTCTAGACTAGAACCTAGTCAAAGGGACTCATGTGCTGGGCAGGCTGGACCCATTTATAATCCCAGCTACTCAAGAGGCTGAGACAGGAATTTAATTTGAGCCGAGGCCAGGAGTCGGAGCCCAGCCTGGGCAAAGTAGTGAGACACCCATGTTTTTTTTTTTTTTTTTAATTTAATTTTATTTTTTTAATGTGTCTAAGAAAAAATTAGAAATTAGGAGGGTCTGGGCAGCTGAAGAAGCCAGAAATCAAGGAAGGTTACCAAGGTAATCTCTAACTGCACTGTCAGAACACTCTCCAGGGACAAAAATGCTGACTTCGGAACAGGGGAGATGTAGGCAACATTCTCTGAAGCCATCAGATTCACCCCTACCTCCTGCTCTGGATCACCAAGCAACCCTCTGAAAACTGTTCTGTTCCCCATGTAGCTCTGCCCACAGGGAGAGAATGCACTCAGCAGTGAACAGGAAGATCCAGTCTGCTTCAAAGCCCTGCTTCCCCTTATAAATTAATGAATTGGCATCTGATTTGAAATATCAGTCTCATGAGTCTGGTTAGTACGTGTCTGTTCCATAGAGATGCTGCTGCTTTTAGGACTAACAACTGTGGTTTCAGAGCTAATGTCTGGGCCCAGAATGGTGATAAATTCACCAAGGTAACAAATGCTACCCTAGGGATATCCAATTTATCTGCAATTTCTTATTTCCTTTATTTTTCTTCAAACTTTTTTTGTCAATTGAGGCAGTTATTATGTGTGTGTGTGTGTGTGTGTGTGTGTGTGTGTGTGTGTGTATTACGACCCTAGAAAAACAACCAGAGGATTTCTGCTCCTTTATGCTTTTATCTTGCTTCTTGGTCTGTGATGCCTGCTGAGCTTGTCAGTATGATGCAAGCAGACTGGTATGAGGGAGCAGACTCTTCTGTCATTTTTCCCGAGCTTTGAGTTCATCAAACCCGGGAATGAGTCCTCCACACTTGTGAGTTCATAACCAGCTCTGTGATTATTGATGGATGATCAGCAGTGTATCTATGTTTCATCGTCACAGAAACCAGACAATGACTTTGGAGCACAGCCTAATAAGAACCTGGTGCTCCTTCTTGAAGTTACATCCCCAGCCCTTTTGATTTATTTTGAGGCAGGTTCTTGCTGTTGCCCAGGCTTGTCTAGGAATTTTGATCTCCCCCTCAGCCTCCCAATTTGATGGCATTACAGGCATCATTAGACCTTCTTTGCTTTTTTGTGGTGCTGGGGATTGAACCCAGGACCTTGTGCATAGAAGGCAAGAGCTCTACAACTGAGCCACATCCTTGGCCCCTCACACTGGGTCTTCATGTTTCTGTTCACAATGTAGTCCAAGGCATAATTTGAATTTGCTATGTAGCCCAAGCTGGGTTCAAACATATGATCTTTCTACCTCAGCCTCTCAAGCCCAGTGCTGATTAACAGGTATGAGCCATCATGCCTGGATTTTAAAGCATTTTTCATGCTCTTGAGAACGTCAGCCAGGGCATTCATATGCATGGTTATGGTGGCACTGTGGAAGATCGAAGAAAGAATTAAAACATATTTTAAATTTTTTTCTTTTTAGGATTATTGGTTAAATTCAGGGAGTTGTACATGATAGGCAAGTACTCTGCCATGGAGCTACAATCGCAGCCCCCAAACATATTTTTAATTACAATAATATACATACATAGTTTTGTAAAAATCAACTAAGCTTAAGACAAGATTAAAAAGGTTGTCCTCCATGCCTGTCCTACAGGCGCACACCTGTAATCCTAGCACTTGTGAGGCTGAGGCAGGAGGATCCTTGCAAGTTTGAGACCAGCCTGGGCTACGTAGTGAATCTAAGGTGGGCTTAAACTATGTAGTGAGACTCTGTCTCAAAAAACCAAAACCCTCCCCTGCAAAATGTTGTCCTCTATCCTGATTTTTTTTAACCTCTGATTTTCCCTTCTCAAACGTAACCATTCTTTTTTTTTCAAAGTTGCATTTCCTTTTATTTGTCTCAAAAGGCAAACATTATTTTAGCTTTTTAAAGCTTTATTCTTTTCACTTTTATTAATACATGCAATCCATAAGTTCATTCAGTCATCAAGGGAAGTTAGTACATGCAGTGGTAATACCGATTCCTCAATCTTTTTACTCCCATTTTGACTGATTTGTGTCCCTAATCTTTCTTTCCACATTTCAAACAATACAGATCATCTGTTTTTCCTGACTTTTAAATTTCGATTGACATTTTGCAACAGAAAAAGATAGCTCTTATATTTTATTTCCTTTTCCTTGTACTTGCTCTTATTCTCTCCACTGAATTATAGTTCAATTTTAATTTGTTATGCTTATTTAATTAGATACAGTTTGCTATATGGTTCAGGGTGGCCTTAAATTTGCTATGTCACTGAGGCTGGGCTTAAATTCATGATACTCTTCCCTCTGTCTCCCAATTCTATGGTGCAGTTTTCCTGTGTGCATGCCTATATGAGTATGTGGTAGGAAGGACTGAACTCAGGGCCTGAACTCAGGAACTCACTGGATTCCATCATCAGCCTTTTTAAAAAAAATTTTTTTTTGAGACAAGTTTTACTAAGTTGCCCAGGCTGGGCTCAAATTCGTAACTGTCCTGTGTCAGCCTTCCAGAATGCTGAAATTGCAGGTATGTACCACAGTGCTTGGCTTACAGTTCAGTGTTTAAATAAAAATATTTAATATCCAAAATATTTTGACTACCTA